CAAGTGAGTCTCCTGCCTCTGCCTCCCAAGTAGCTGGGACCACAGGCGCCCGCCACAACACCCAGCTATTTTTTGGTTGCAGCCATCATTGTTATTTTTGGCGGGCCCAGGCTGGATTCGAACCCACCACCTTAGGTGTATGTGACTGGTGCCTGAGCCACTTGAGCCACAGGCGCCGAGCCACCTGACTAGTTTTTGTTGTTGTTGTTGTTGTTGTAGTTGTAATTGTTATTTAACAGGCTTGGCTGGTAAGTGGCTGGTGCCCTACCCACTGAGCTATAGGCGCTGAGCCCCAATTTAAATTGAGTTTTTCTCTTGTGTAGATGTGAATTAATTTTGTCTGCTGGCTTCATACTAGTTTTGAATACTTTAGATACTTTTTTTTTTTATCCTTGTAATACTTTACCAAAGAGAATGTTCTCCAGCTCTATCCAGGTTAATGCAAAAGATAAATCTCCATCTTTTTTTAGGGCCGAATAATATTCCATGGTATACATATATCACAGTTTATTAATCCATTCATGGGTTGATGGGCACTTGAATTGATTCCACATCTTGGCAATTGTAAATTGAGCTGTGATAAACAATCTAGTGCACATGTCCTTGTGATAAAATGATTTTTTTTCTTCTGGGTAGATGCCTAGTAATGGGATTGCAGGATCAAATCAAAGGTCTAATTTGAGTTTTTTGAGGATTTGAAGTAGGAGGATTCTTCATACTTATTTCCCGAGAGGCTGCATTAATTTGCAATCCCAAAAACAGTGTAAAAGAGTTCCTTTTTCTCTACATTGACTCTAGCACCTGCAGCTTTGGGACTTTGTGATGTGGGCTAATCTTACTGGGGTTAGGTGATATCTCAGGGTGGTTTTGATTTGCATTTCTCTGATGATTAGGGACGATGAACATTTTTCATATGTTTATTGGCCATTTGTCTGTCTTCAGAGAAGTTTCTGTGTGTGTGTCTTGGAGGGGTTTCTTTATAAGCATTCTCATCCCTATTAGCTTGTGTCCTTTAAAGATATAACATCCCAAAAGTCAAACCTAGAAAAACAGTTCTTAAAAGTTAAGGTTAGTTAGCTGGTTTCCAGTCATTTTAATTGTAAATTTTCTCTTAAAATGTGTTTTCCTACACTTTGGCAGGAAAATTAAATGTATCAGAGAAATTGTAATTTGCAAGTTCCTGAATTGTAACTGTAAGTTGAAGTGATAAATACACAAATTCTTTTCAGAAGTTTCTTTTAATAGTTTTCTGAGTACTCATTTATAGGTCTCCTTTTATTCCTCTTTTTTTCCAGTTAAAAATTTTAAGTAACCCAACTATTGAATATGCTTTAGGAGAGTTTTACTAAAAACAAACAAAACAAACACCCCCCCCCCAAAAAAAAGACAAGAGAGTTTTACTAATTTATTAATTTTTTTACTAACTTACTAAATTTTTTTCTGGGAGACTTATTCAGTCCATTTGAAACTGGCTATTTCTTTTTTCTACACAAAATAGATGTCAGCTGTGGTATACAAACCAGAGTGTGTTCACATAAACAAAGACCTGTCTGTTAGATTGTTGTGTGAATGCACACATTTATGAAAGCCTTGGAATGACTTGATTTACTCTTACACCTACAAAATATTTTACTTTAATTTGATAGACTTTATAAAATATCTGAATATATTTACATCTCACATGAGAGGATTTTTTTTTTTGAGACAGAGTCTGACATTGTTGCCTTTGGTAGAGTCCTATGGTGTCACAGCTCACAGCAACCTCTAATTCTTGGCCTCAAGCAGTTCTCTTGCCTCAGCCTCCTGAGTAGCTGGGACTACAGGTGCCGGCCACAACACCCAGCTATTTTTAGAGAAGAAGTCTCGCTCTGGCTCAGGCTGGTCTTGAACCCTTGAGCTCAGGCAGTCCACCCACCTTGGCCTCCTCAGTGTTAGGATTATAGGTGTAAGCCACTGCATCCGCCCCATGAGAGGGTTTTTTAAAAAAGTGTAATTGATAGGCTAGTGTGGTGGCTCATGCCTATAATCTTAGCACTCTGGGAGGCTGAGGTGGATGGATTGCCTGAGCTCACGACCAGTCTGAGCCAGAATGAGACCTTGTCTCTAAAAATAGCCAGGCCTTGTGGTGGGCATCTGTAGTCCCAGCTACGAAGGAGGCTGAGGCAAGAGAATGGCTTAAGCTCAAGAGTTCGAGGTTGCTGTGAGCTGTGATGCCAGGGCCCTCTACTGAGGGAGACAAAGTGAGACTCCAGGGGAAAAAAAAGTATAATTGATGTCCTTGAAGTTCTTCAACAGATACCATATTAAGTTATGAATTAGAAACTTAAATTTAAATGGGGATTCCTCTGTTGAATCTTCCTCTATTAATTCTTCTTGGTATTTAGAGTTGCTCGTGTAATAATTTTACTTTAGTAACACATGCTGAGTAGGGATAGGACGTAAGAATTTGGATGTATTTGGTGTCATTTTCCATACTTATATTGCCTTTTCCAATCTTTAAAATGGTACTGTTCCTGATTTTTGTCCTTGAGGAGTTTTCCCTTTCTTCTTCCTGAGGATGCCTTTTTTTTCTTTTTTTTAATATTTAGGAAAAGGAGTCTTCTAGTTCAAGTATCACTTAGAAGTACAGTACAGAGTTTTACTAACATAGTAGTATTTCTAAGTGATACTTGAACTAGAAGATTGTACCAGGTTGCTTATAGTTTCTCTTGAATTTGTTGTATTGTATTGAAAATATTTAGGTATAAATTCCATCTTTTTTGTGACTGACTTGTGTCAGAATCAGCCACTTATCTTTCTGTTCTTGGGGTAGGGTGGTATCTGGACAAGGGTGACTGAAGTCCTCCCTCTTTGTGAAATGAAAACAGAAAGGATGGGTAAGGGCTATGTGAGGACTTTGCCATTGTGACCGAAGGTTAGACACCTCTCTTTTCTTTTATTTTTATTTATTTTAGTGGGTTTTGGCTGGAGCTGGGTTTGAACCTGCCACCTCCAGCATATGGGGCCGATGCCCTACTCCTTGAGCCATAGGCACGGCTCCTCTCTTTTCTTTTGGTAGCAGGCTATGGTAATGCAGTAGGTCATTTATGCTCCTTACATTGTTATTATCTGAGAACAAAGTAGTTGTTATCTGATGAATAATTGACTAAGAAATATAATTGATTGCCGGCTATTAAGATTTAATAATTGGTTTTCAAGAGAAAGTTATAGGAATTTAGCAGAGAGAAATGCTTAGTGAAAAATTTAGGTAAATGTGCTTTTTAGCTTGGCAAAGATAAAGTTGGAGATTTCAGTTTAATGTTTTTTGTTTATTTCAGTTGTATCACAGCAATCAAACCAAACTGTACTCAACTCAACTGCTTCTACCCTGAATGTGAATGCTTTAACACATGAAAACCAAACGAAACCATCTATATCCCAAATCAGTACCATGTTCCCTCCCACAACTAGTACAGTGAAAAGTAGGGGAGTATCTGCGGCCCCTCCTCCCTCACCGACCACTTTGTTCCAAGAGGAAGCTGATAACAATGAAGATCCTAGCATAGAGGAAGAGGATCTTCTCACGCTGAACAGTTCTCCGTCCATAGCCAAGGACACTCTGGACAATGGAGATTATGGCGAAACAGACTATGACTGGACCACCAGTCCCAAGGATGATGACCCTGATGACACCTTGGAAGAAAACAGGGGTTACATGGAAATTGAACAGTCAGTGAAATCTTTTAAGAGCCCATCTTCAAATATAGAAGAGGAAGATAGCCATTTCTTTCTTCATCTTATTGTTTTTGCTTTTTGTATAGCTGTTGTTTATGTTACATATCACAACAAAAGGAAGGTAAGTCTGAGATTTTTCAGCCCCTCCATTGTCTTCTACTATCTCAATCATGTTTTTTATTAATGTTTTTGATGATTCAGGGTTTTTTATTTAGTCAAGTTTAAATTGATGGTAAAATATTGAAATGTCTAATCAGTTTATAAATCTGTTGTATATTTTAATAAATTACAGACAGAATGTTTAACTATATGTACGTCTAAAAAATTAGTCAAATTCTTTCTTTTTTTTTTTT